GGGGGGGGTCTCTCTTGGCCCGGTTTGGGGGTCTCTCAGCCCGGTGTGAGGGTCTCTCTTGGCCCAGTGTGGGGATCTCTCGGCCCAGTGTGGGGGTCTCTCTCTGCCCAGTGTGGGGGTCTCTCTCTGCCCGGTGTGGGGGTTTCTCTCAGCCCGGTGTGAGGGTCTCTCAGCCCGGTGTGGGGGTCTCTCAGCCCGGTGTGAGGGTGTCTCAGCCCGGTGTGGGGGTCTCTCAGCCCAGTGTGGGGATCTCCCGGCCCGGTGTGATGATCTCTCTGCCATGTGGTGATCTCCCAGCCTGGCGTGTTGATCTACTGTCCTGGTTTGGTGATCTCCTGGTCGCCTGGCATATCAGTCTTTTGTCCCAGCATGGCCTTAGCATGGACTTCCGAGGTGATTCCAGAGTGGGCTCCTGGCCTTGAGGTCTGGCGCGGTTCGGAGTCAAGGCCTGGTGTGGACTGGAGGCCCGGTGCCAGCATGGGCAGGGTTGGAAAGACCCATGTTCTGAACATCTTATTTCTCCATTTTCGAATTTATCCCTACAATTTGCAATGCTGGACTTTTTATTTTGTTATTTTTACAACTTTCTTTTCCTAAGAACTTGAAACTGAAGTATCTGTCCCTAGGTCCCTTTGTACCTAAGATGGCACTGCAAGTGGCGACCTGTAAACTTTTCATTGCGCTCATTCGAACATAGAACATAGAACAGTACAGCACAGTACAGGACCTTCGGCCCACGATGTTGTGTCAACCTATTATCCTACTACGATCAATCTACCCTGCATACCCTACATTTTACTATCCTCCATGTGCCCATCCAAGAGTCGTTTAAAAGTCTCTAAAGTATCTGACTTCACTATCACTGCCGGCAGCGCATTCCACACGCCCACCACTCTCTGTGTGAAGAACCTACCTCTGACATCTCCCCTATACCTTCCTCCAATCACCTTAAAATTATGCCCCCTCACAATAGTCATTTCCGCCCTGGGAAAAAGTCTCTGACTATCCACTCTATCTATGCCTCTCATCATCTTGTAAACCTCTATCAAATCACCACTCATCCTTCTTCGCTGCAATGAGAAAAGCCCTAACTCCCTCAACCTTTCCTCATAAGACCTGCCCTCCAGTCCAGGCAGCATCCTGGTAAATCTCTTCTGCACCCTCTCTAAAGCTTCCACATCTTTCCTATAATGAGGTGACCAGAACTGAACACAATATTCCAAGTGTGGTCTAACCAGGGTTTTATAGAGCTGCAGCATAACCTCACGGCTCTTAAGCTCAATTCCCATGCCAATGAAAGCCATTTGAGTACATGTGACAAAAATGCTAATTCAATTCAATTGAATTGGCCTTCAGGAGCTGGTGAATCCTAACCCTAACCCTAACCCAAATCCTTCTTGAACTGCTGTCATACTTTTTGTGTAGGGAGACCCACAAGTGCTGATAGGGAGGGAGTTCCAGGATTTTGACCCAGTGACAGTGAAGGAACAGCAACCAAGTCAGGATAGTGACTAGCTGGAAGGGGAACTTGCAGGGGATGGTGCTCCCATGTATCTGCTACCCTTGTCGTTCTAGATGGAAGTGGACATGGGTTTGAAAGGTGCTGTCTGAGGATCGTTGGTGAATTTCTGCAGTGCATCTTGCAGATAGTACACAATGCTGCTACTGAGCGTTAGTGTTGGAGGGAGCGGATGTTTGTGGATATGGTGCTAATCTAAAGGCGCTTTACTCTGGATGGTGTCTTGCTTCTTGAGTGTTGTTGGAGCTGCACTGAAACAGACAAGTGAACAATGATCTAATGAAGAATATGAAAGGGTGTGGAGAGAGAGTAACCGTGTAGGATTCACTTAGAGAGAGAGAGAGAGCAATGAAATGGACCAAAATAAATCAATGGATCAGGTAGGGATGAGGATTGTGGTTTTAGGAGGGATATCTATGAGTGGGCTGGATGGAGTAGATAGGGAGAAGTTGTTCCCATTCTTAAAAGGGCAAGAATAAGAGGACACAGATTTAAAGCAATGTGCAAACCAAACAAGAGGGTGAGGTGAGAGGAAGGCTTTTTCCTCAGTGAATATTTAGAGTCTAGAAATGCACTACTTGGAAATGTGGTGGAGGCAGGTTCAATTGAGGCATTGAAGAGGGGCATTGGATAATTATTTGGATAGAAATGGTGTGCAGCAATATGGAGAGAGGGCTAGACATTGGTACTAGGGGATACCAGACCAGGTGCAGGCACAAAGGGCCGAATGGCCTTCTACTGCACTGGAACAATTCAGTCATTCTGTTATTCAGACAAGAAGTGCCAAGCAACTTCCTGCAAGTGTGAGGGGCCTACAGAGTATGAGTAGGAAATATCTATTGTCCTGAACAGGGAGATTAATAACCAGGAGGCATGGATTTAAAGTAATAAGGATTAAAGACAAGTCAAAAACAACATTTTTTTAGGCAATTTGTATGCTGCCTCGTTGCACAACATCTCTTCCAGTATTCAATGCTATTCTAAATGGTTTCATTCTACATACCTTTTACAAACATGTATATTCTTCATTTATGCTCATTAAAATAATAAGGACTTTTCTTTCATTTGTTGACAGAACGTGGAGATTGTTGGCTGGGCTAGTATTTATTGCCCATCCCTAGTTGACCTTAAAAAGCTGGTGGAGAGCCATCAGCTTATATTGCTGCAGGCCCTGGGGTGTGTGTACACTCACAGACTGGTTAGGGAGGGACTTCACCAAAGATCCTTCCAAACCTATAAGCACTTCCACCTAGAAAGACAATGGCAGCAATGTATGGGAACACCACCACTTGCAAGCTCCCCTCCAAGCCACTCACCGTGCTGACTTGGAAATATATAACATGGACTGCAGCGGTTCAAGAAGACAGCTCACCACAACCTTCTCAAGGACATCTAGGGATGGGCAATCGATTCTGGCCCCGCCAGCAATATCCACGTTCCACGAGCAAACAAAATAAATTCCAGGATTTTGACCCAACGATACTGAAGGAATGGCAATATATTTCCAAGACAGGATGATGAGTGGTTTGGAAGGGAATTTGCAGGTTGTGGTGTTCCCACGTATCTGCTGTTCTTGACCTTCTAGATGGCAGAGATGATGGGTTTAGATGACTTGATAGAGGTGTACAAAATGAACAAAGGTATAGATAGAGTGGACAGCCAAAGACTTTTTCCTAGGGTGGAGGTAGCTATTACGAGGGGGCATAGTTTTAAAGTGAGTGGAGGTAGATAAAGGGGAGACATCAGAGGTAGGTTCTTTACTCAGAGAGTAGTCGGGGCATGGAATGCATTGCCGGAGAGGATAGTGGAGTCAGCCTCATTAGGGGCATTTAAGCGGCTATTAGATAGGCATATGGATGATAGTGTAAGGTAGCGGTGGAGGTTAGATAGACCTTCGGATCAGGGTAAAAGTTCGACACAACATCATGGGCCGAAGGGCCTGTACTGTGCTGTACTGTTCTATGTTCTACGTTTAGAAGGTGCAGCCTAAGGACCATTAGCGAGTTGCTGCTGTGCATCTTGTAGATAATACATGCTGCTGCTATCATGCACCAGAGAGAGGAGTCAGTGAATGTTGAAGAAATGGATGGGGTACAAGTTGTATCCTGTCAAATCCATTAAGAATTTCAGTCCCTCTTTCTTCTAAACCCCAGAGAATGTAGATGCAGTTTACTCAATCTCTCTTCAAAGCACAAAAATGAATACATAAAAAGTACAAAGTGTGGAGCTGGAAGAACACAACAGGCTAGGCAACATCAGAGGAACAGGAAAGCTGATGTTTCAGTCAGGACTCTTGTTTGGTTTTTCTGAAGAAGGGTCCCGACCCAAAACATCAGCTTTCCTGTTCCTCTGATGCTGCCTGGCCTGCTGTGTTCCTCCAGCTCTACGCTGTGTTATCTCTGACTCCAGCATCTGCAGTTCTTGCTATCTCACCCAAAAAGTACAACTTTGTCAAGCATGTAGCTACTGAAGGGCCACGCTATTCTATAGTGTAGTGAGTTATTTGAAAATTCTTCACCAACAGGTTATAGGTAAAACACAAAATGACTCTGTTAACAGTCTGGCATTTTCCCAAGATGAAAGAGCAAAGAGCTAGTGCATGAAACCTATCGATTGCAGAGCAAAGAGTTTGGAGGAGGAATTATAAATGGAATCACTGAATTGGGAGCACTGTGGGGCCAGGTGAAATGCTGGATTTGCCCTCCATACTCCATTGTGGATGACACAGTGGCTCAGTGGTTAGCACTGCTGCCTCACAGCACTAGGGACCTGGTTTCGATTGAACTCTTGGGCGACTCTCTGTGTGGAGTTTGCACATTCTCCCTGTGTCTGCGTGGGTTTCCTCCCACAGTCCAAAGATGTGCAGGTTAGATGGATTGGACATGGGGAACGTGTCCCATAATGTTCAGGGATGTGTAGACGAGGTGAGTTAGCCTTAGGAAACATGGGGTTATGGGATATGCTGGAGATCTGGGTGGGCTGCTCTTCGGAGGGTCGGTACAGACTTAATGGGTCAAATGGCCTCCTTCCGCACTGTACTGATTCTATACTCATTGCCTTAAATGGGTAATTAAATTGGGTGGGGTGGAAAATGCGAAACCCTTCCACCATGTACCTGTTTCCCACTCGAAGGATTAGATTAAGATACCCCTTGAGAAAGTCAAAAGAGTGTGGACATTTACTCTGAATTGAAGATACCATATAAAATGCACAGGATAACCACAGCATTGCGAGCAAGATGTCGATTAAACACTTTCTGTTTTGCTACAGCTCCCATTTGGAGATGGACTCTATCACTTCACTCATAACGGTATTCCAAAGGCCAGGCGAAGACGCAGTGCTCGATACAAGCTTTATCTGGAAAAGAACCCAAGGGTAAGCTAATGTTTCTCCACCCTTCAGCAGCTGTTGCCTAGGCAACAATTCATAATGTGGTCAGCTAATCAGTGAGGAACAAAACCAATCATTCTAGCCTTGGTGAACAAATTCAGAAAGGAAAAACATAGCCCTTGAAAGCACCTGATAATTCAAAAGTCCATTACTGTTCTCTAATTTCATTTGAATGTTATCAAATGTAATTTACATCAGATACGGTTCGCCCCAAATTTACTGCAGGGCTCGCTCACGTCATTACAAAGGAAGATGTGGGAGCTAAGAGAGTGACATTTTGTCTCATCTGCACAGTTTCACTATGGAATAGATAAAGGAAAGTGTGGATGTGATTTGCATGCTGAGAAAGTTTAATTTTGCTTTTACTACGTCTATATTATATTGTGGGTGTTAAAATATGTATTTTCTTCCTTTATTCTTTCATGGGATGTGAGAGACACTGGAAAGGCCGGCATTTGTTGCCTGTCCCTTACAAACTAGGTGGCTGTTTGAGCCATTTCAAAGGGCAGTTAAGAGTCAACCACACTGCTGTGGGTCTGGAGTCACATATAAGCCAGACCAGGTCAGGACAGCAGATTCCCTTCCCGAAGGGACATTAGTGAACAAAGTCAGAAGTTGCACAACACCAGGTTATGAGCTTCACCTGATGAAGGAGCAGCGCTTCGAAAGCTTGTGATTTCAGATAAACCTGTAATGTTGTGCTGTGTGACTTCTGACTTTGCCCACCCCAGTCCAACACCGGCACCTCCACATCAGGACATTAGTGAAGCAGATGGACTTTTACAATGATTGATAATAGTGTGACGGTCACCATCATTGAAACTAACTTTCCATTGAATTTAAATTTCATCAGCTATCAAGGTGGGCTTCAAACCCATGCCCCTAGAATGTTACCTGTAGGCCTCTAGTATTACCACCATGCCACCGTCTCCATCTGTTGTTGTTCAGATCATTGGATGACACATTGTAAAGAAATGGCAAATTCAGAAATGGAAGATAACCAGCAAGTAACTGAATTGATAATTTGAAATTCCACATTGGCATGGTTGCATCGTTTGTCTTATTAAGATGGCAATTATCTTAACCAACTAAAATGAAATGGACTTTATAAACGATATATTACAGTATATTCAGTCCAATCTTTTGGAGGCTTGGGTAAGTGAAGTTTGTACATGTTACAAGGCAAAGTATATGAGCAGATGTCTGCAGTTTTTATGCTAATCAAAGCACAGAAAGACCTTGCGCACATTCAAAGAGGATGCAAAGACTGATTGTATTCCTCTCATTGTGATCTATGTCAAGCTGCCACTGGGTTGAACATTTCTCTCGGCAAAGTCTTGACAGATTTTTAATCAGTAACATTATGGGGAAAAGGCAGGAAAGAGGGCTTGAGGATTACCAGATCAGCTGTGAACCCATTGAATGGCAGAGCAGACTCAATGGGCTGCATGGCCCATTTCTGCTCCTACATCATATGGTCTTTTGGTCAATCCTCTGCTCTTTTTCCATTTCTGGCTAAATGGAGTTGGGATACAAATGAACCCTGACCTAACTGAATGGCAGAAAGGCCTCCTCCTGTTCTTATCAAATTCCAGACATTATGATAAAAAAAACAGACAGGGAAGCCAAAGATGATGGCGTGAGCTTTTTTGTTTTCAGTGTACTTTTCCATACAATTCCCAAGTTGGAAATATATTATCATTGACAGTTTTGGCATCATTGCAACCCCAGAGTCCAGGCCCCCACTTCATGAAAACTCCCTCGCTGAGGCTGCCAACCATCTAGGACAGACCTGCAGTCTCCAGGGACTGTGGAGACCAACCTGACACACCATTCAACAGCAAGTTTGTGATGCAGAGTGACACCAACAATGTGGGTTCAGTTCCTGCACTGGCTGAGGTTACCATGAAGGACTGTCATTCTCAACCTCTCCCCTCGCCTGAGATGTGGTGACCCTCAGGTTAAACCACCCCCAGTCATCTTTCTCTAATGGGAGAGAAGCACTATATCCTGGTAAGACTATGGTGGCTTTGCATTTTACTCGAGCGAATCCTGGAATGGATGGGTTATTTTACGGGGAGAGGTTGTACAGGGTAGGATTGTATCTGCTGGAGTTTAATAGATTGAGAGGTGACTTGATTGAAACATATAAGGTCCTGAAATATCTTGACAGGATGCAGGTGATGATGATGATGTTTCCTTTTGGTAGGAAATTTAGAACTAGGGGATCATTGTTTAAAAATGTTGGGTCATCCATTTATGACAGAGTGGAAAGGGAAGTTTTTTTCTCTCACAAAGGATAAGTGGTGAATCTGGAATTCTCTTCCTGAAAGGTTGGTAGAAGCAGAATCTTTGCATATTCCTAAGGCAGAGGTAGATAGAGATAGAAGTTGTATTTGTACTTGCTTTCTGAGCATTTTAACTCAGTGCCAGTCTCCTTTTCCCCATAACCCTGCACATTGTTCCTATTTAAATAACCATCCAATGCCCCTCCTGTATGCCTCAACTGAACATGCCTCCCCCACATTTCCAGGCAGTGTATTCCACATCTTGACTACTCTCTGTGTGAAAATGTTCTTTTTTCTCATGTCATGTCTACTTTCGCTAAATACTTTAAATCTGTGCCCTTTAGTTCTCCATCCATTTAACTGGGAATAGTTTCTCCTTGTCCAATCTGTCTAACCCCCTCATCATCTTGACAACCTCTATCAGATCTCTTCTCTTCTACAAAGAGAACAGTCCCAACTTAGTCAATCTTTCCTCCTCACTACAGGGTCTCATCTCAGGGACCATTGATAAATGAGGAAGGGGTGGGGGAGGGGTGATGGAAGGTAATCAGGGATAGGTGGAACTGTGGACTAATCAAATCCACCACAGTGGTGTGGCTCAGTGGTCGGCACTGCTGCTTCACAGCAATGTGGACCCTGGTTCGATTCCAGCCTCCGGTGACTATGTATGTAGAGTCTGCACATTCTCCCAATGTCTGTGTGGGTTCCCACTGGATGCTCCCCACAGCCCAAAGATGTGTAGGTTCAATGGACCAGCCATGCTAAATTACCCCATAGTGTTCAAAGATGTTCGGGTTAGGTGGACTGACCATGGTGTAGAGTCCAGGGAATGTGCAGGCTAGGTGGATTAGCGATGGAAAATGTAGGGTTATGGGGATGGGATAGGGCATCCTTTGGAGGTTTGATGTGGACTTGATGGCCTCAATGGCCTCCTTCTGCATTGTAGGGATTCCATGATTCTTACATTATTGATTGGTGGAGTAGGCTCAAGAGGCCATGTGCCTTTCTCCTGCTCCTAATTCTGACGTTGATATAACTTGCTGCTTACATCATTCTAATTCTCCATATCTTCATCTGTTCTGAAGATATTGGCTCTTGTGTTGAGCTAGGCCTTATATTGCTAAGGCTCAGTTGTGAATATCAGCAGGTGGCTTGACAGACTGTGATCCCACCTTCTACTGATGTCCAGACAACTTTCCAAGAGGCATGATGCAGATAAAAGTTCATTAGTCCCTCCTGGAATTGAGTGCTGGGATCAATTGTCTCACTGTCACTGAGTGTGTATGCCAGAAACAAATGAAGGAAGCAGTGAGGAACATGCAAGTTTCACTGAGCAGATTTTCAACTCCTTATTGTCTTTATTCTTGCCGGGAAAGTTTCCTCACTCTAGTGGCACCTCTTCTCCAATGTTTGTTACAACACTCCAGCTCACAAGAGCCAGAAACTCAAAAGCATTCAATCTCTCCAGAGGCGGGTTAAGTGTCTGGAGCAGTCATAAAGCCACAAACTCTGCAGTATTTTGTGTTGAATTGGTAAAAAACCGAAATAAAGTACATGATCTATTTTTGCCACTGTAGGTAGAATGGTGGTGATTTGCACTTGAGGATGAGATTGTCTGGGCCCTTGAGAAAAATTGCTACAATGATGATGATTTGGACACAAACACTTTTATCCATACCTCTTAGAGAGCAGAGTTAAATATGAAATATTCATGAGGTAAATGACTGACTGGACAAAAACCGGTGACCTTGTCTTTTCTAATGTGTTAGGGTGTTTGCTCCTGGAATAATGTTGGAAAAGGCTGTGTTTGCTACCACAGAAACTGTGGGAGATGCAGTCACTGCCCAACGCAGTCACAGTTTCTGTGATACTACTGTTGCTTCTATTTGCTTACATCAAAGAATAGGACCACACACAGGGTTTATTTTCCTACGTGTGAAATTAATTCAGTCCAAATCCCTGGTTTGTGATTTGCTCACTGTCCCACTCCCAAGACTTGGCTACACTGCTCATTATCTCCCCAGCTGCCTCAATACCTCCCACTGTCACTTCTCCCTCCCTCCTTCACACTGCCCTGTCACCTGTTTGTCGCTCCAGTGGGGGCTTGGCAGGGATGGGATCGGGAATAGGGTGGCCAGGAAGGGGGTTTCGGGGATTGAATGGAACGGTGAGTGAGGATGCAGGATTCTTTAGGGGTTTGACAGGGTAAATGCTGAGAGGATGCTTCCCTCTCTTGGGAGAGTCCAGGACTAAAGGATGCAGCCTCAGAATAAAGGGGCACCAATTTAAGACTGAAATGAGGAGGGATTTCTTCTCTAAGTGTTGTGAATGTTTGGAATTCCTTGCCACAGAGAGCTGTGGCGGCAGAGTCCTTGTATATATTTAAGGCTGAGATAGATTCTTGATCAGTCGGGGAATGAAGGGTTACAGGGAAAGGGCAGGAATGTGGGTGTGAGGAATGTCAGATCAGCCGCGATCCTATTGAATGGCAGAAAACTCTCAAGGGGCCGAATGGCCTACTCCTATTCCTATTTCTTGTGGTGAGCAAGGATAGCGAGCAGTGATGAGATCTATGTCAGATCTTATTTCAAGTGTGATCCGGTGAGCAGATTTGGGGCAGGGTTATGTGGAATAGTTGACGTTTTGTTAAGTCACGACAAGTGTCTCTGGATAAAACATTGAGTTGATTCAGAGATGAATGAATGAGACAGGGTGCTGTTACAGAATGCTGTGTGTGGGTGTTCCTCGGGTGTGCCCAAGCATCAGTGTCACCATACATACGTGTACCAGCAGAGAGGGCTGGTTCTTGGTTCTCGTGCGGTGCCGAGGAAGAGTGTGTTTTCTGATAAATGGGTGTTGGGCACCAAATAATTGGGTGCTCCATGTTTTTCCTGAAACCAAGCCTGAATTGTATTGCCACCAATTTGCTCAATGATCTTTCACATGGTCACATTTGAATGCACCTGAAACGCTCACATGTAAGTAATCCTCATGGCAAGACCCAGGCTGACAGTCCCTATATTGCCATTCTATATCACAACAAATATCTTCTATATCTTCACAGATGCTGCCAGACCTGCTGAGCTTTGCCAGCAACTTCTGCTTTTGTTTCTACATTTCAATGTACTTCATTGGCTGTAAAAGACTTTGGGTCATTCTAGGGTTGGAGAAGGTGCTATGTAAATACAGGGAATTTTTTTTCCAATATAAAACTTGGACTCATCGCTTCCAGAATTCCAGCACGTCAGATGCTGGGAGTTCTACGACAAATAACTCACTTCCTGACTCTCCAAAGCCTGTCCGCCATCTACAAGGCACAAATCAGGAGTGTGATGGAATACTCCCCACCTGCCTGCATGGATGCACTTCTTACAACAGTCAACAAACTTGACACCATCCAGGACAAAGCAGCCCACTTGATTGGCACCACATCCACAAACATCCACTCCCTCCACCACCGACGCTCAGTCGCAGCAGTGTGTACCATCTACAAGATGCATTGCAGCAACTTACCCAGGATCTCCAACAGCACCTTCCAAACCTGTGACACCTATCGTCTAGAAGGACAAGGGCAGCAGATACATAGGAACTTGACCACCTGCAAGCTCCCCTTCAAGCGACTGTCCAACCTGGTTGGAAATATATCACCATTTATTCACTGTAGATGGGTCACAATGCTGCAATTCCCTCCCTAATGGCATTATGGGTCAATCTACAGAATGTGGTCTGCAGCGGTTCAAGAAGGCAGCTCACCATCACCTTCTCAAGGGGCAACTAGAGATAGGCAATAAATGCTGGGCCCAGCCAGCAACGCCCACATCCTTGTATATGAATAAATGTAGAAAAGTTAATCTTGAAGGGCTATTTGCTTTAATGTGACAGGCCATTATCATCAAGAATAGCCTTTCTCTCTGGCTTCTGGCCTTTAATCTAACACCATAATTTCACAGATAGTAGAAACTGCCGATGCTGGAAAATCTGAGATAACAAGGTGTGGAGCTGGAGGAACACAGCAGGCCAAGCAGCATCAGAGGAGCAGGAAAGCTGACGTTTCGGGTTTGGACCCTTCTTCAGAAGAAGGGTCTGAAGAAGAGTCCAGACCGGAAACGTCAGCTTTCCTGCTCCTCTGATGCTACTTGGCCTGCTGTGTTCATCCAGCTCTACACCTTGTTATCTCAGATT